AGTGTCCTGATTTATTTTGATCACTGCCAGTTTTTAAGTAAAGGATTAAAATAGGTCTAAAATTTTCTCATATTTTAAGGTAGTTTGCTTTTTATTGTACTTTTCCCAAGGACTCTTCATTTATGTCTCAAGTGGATGGCTACTCTCAAATTCCACTCAAGTAGGCAGGAATTGGAGATGTTTTTATGAAGCAAAAGCAAAATAAGCAACCTCCAGCTACTTTAAAAAGTGGACTTTTCTTAAAGGAATACTGGTTTGTATAAGGCACACTTTCCATCAAGCAGAGTTGCTGCTTTCACTTCAGCATAAAATAAGCTGCTTTTGTAACCATTATTTTACCAACAATTCACATCAGTTCTTCTCCAGTTAATGTCTTTGGAATACATTTATTTGCAAGAAAATCAATTAAATCTTGCTCTTCATCCCTTTTTTAAACATCAAGATACAAGAGGATCCATTTTTGCTATTATTTTGTGAAAAGAAACATACATTTCCTGTGTCAGTGGATTTCTCAGAGAGCTGTAGGACCATATTGGCGTTCTCTGCACCTCAGGCAGGGAGGTCTTAGGACCTACGTTTTAAAGAATTCAATCCCATCAAGAGCTGGCAGGTTCTGAATTAGTGTCAATACACTGAAGTGAAGTCTAACTGAAGGTTAAGGAATGATAGTATACGGGCAGACAGAAAATTCTCAGTGCTTCTCCAGAACTGGCTTCAGTTAATAAGCAGGCAGCTGGTGATAAAGTGCTTTCAGAGAAGAAGGTCTGGCTGAAGACCAGATCTCCAGAGGAGACAAAATGTATCAGGAGTTGCAGGACTGATAGAAAATGTTGCCAAGTTGTGTGAGATCTGGTTAAACTTTTTCATCACAATATCAATGACACATACAGAGAAGATTCTGCAGACTGCACTGGAGGCTTCATTAAGGCTAACCTGGCTTACTTGGAGGGCTCATGTGTGTGTGCCCCAGGAGTGCTGGAAACACTATATCCTCTTGTTGTAAGCTATAGCACTAGAAGAGTGTGCTTTTCTCTCTGTATATGGAGCCATTTCATTTTTTTAGGTTAGCAATTCACATTTGTTGGGATGAAATGCCCTACCATGCTATTCAACCTCTGTGTTTCTGTAAATGAAACAATGAAGGCAAAAGTAAAGACTAATTTCTTAAAAATGCCTCATTCAAGAAATTAGTGCCTTTCTCTGCAAAAAAAAAAAAACCACAGGAAAATTATAGTTCCGATTCTGGTTTCTGTTTCTGCACTTCACTGAGCTGGGAGACTCTGAAGTTTATTTCATGCTCTTGGAGCAGGAAACTTCTAGTTTTCCAAAGTAATTGCTTCTGTTCCACTTCACAGTAAGGGCCCCATTCTGATCTGACTGAAACAAGAATAAAAATACTACAGTGGATGTGGGTAGGTGTATTGGGCTCTCCTTTTAGTGTCTTTTCATGTTTATTAACATAATTGTGAGGTATTATTTTCAATCTAAATTGGTTTGCACTGAATTTGAGTTTTGTTCTCTGAGCTCAGAATTACATGTTTGAATTATGTATGATAGGTATAGAAAGCCTGAAGATAACTTGAACGGTTCTGTGCTGCCATTTATCCTGACAAATACAGAATTTGTTTCCTTCCTCTCATTCTGCAAGGATCCAGGATGTATACTTTAAATACCACGGAGATAAAAACCAGTGGCAGACGTGATATCAGTCACTGTTTCTGTTGATTACTAGTTCACTAGTTCCCCCCCATTGTGTATGTATACATACAAATATAAATATATACAGCCCATCATTGAGTTACAAATAAAACAAAAGGCAAAAATAAAACTATAATGAGGTGTTCTCACAAGCTATGGAGAAAAAATGTCTTCTTGTCACAGGGTAATTTGTACTGTACTTCAAAGAAAATCTGTTTCACATAAGGATACAAAATAACCTCTAGTTGTATATTCAGGTTGTAGTATGATATTTCATTCTGTGGTCAGATCTCATAAATTAAATAGGGCATCAGATGCTTAATGACATGCTCTGACTTGATGTACTTTTGTTACGGTACCACAAACCGAAACATATTCTTCTTTTGACTTCCTTTCTTATGCTGTCTTTGATAGAAGCTTACTCAGGGGATTGGAAGAGAGGCATAACAGATCTTGACACTAGCAAAGAAATACTGGGCTTATTTCATAGGTATTTTATTATAGCTATTCTAACTTATTATGTTTATTAAAGTGACTTCTACCATAGAAAATAGCATGAATCAATATTATATATTTTCTAATCTTCCTTGCAAGTTTGAATTAAGATCAGGAGTTGGATCTAGAATTTACGCTGTTCCATGTTCGGGAGGTCAGAATGGTGTTCTGGAAACAAATTTTCTTTAACTCAGTTAAATTCAGATTCAGTTCATGTCTGACCTTTGCACGATAATACAGTTCATACCACAGCACCTCATGCCCAGTATATAAACTGGGGCAGTTACCTGGAAGGGCTAGATCACTGCTCAGTCAGGCTGGGTATCGGTCGGCGGGTGGTGAGCGGTTGTATTCTCTTCCCTTGTTATTTCCCTTATCATTATTATCATTGGTGGTAGCAGCAGTGATTTGTGTTATACCTTAGTTACTGGACTGCTTTTATCTCAACCAGTGGTAGTTACATTCTTTCAGTTCTCCCTATTCCTCCAGGAGCCCGGGGGGGGGAGGAAGAGAAGGAGTGAGACAGCAGCTGCATGGCTCTGATCTACGGGTGGGCTCAAACCACAACAGCTTAACAAGGGGAAAAAAAATAAACTGTAAGATTCAGATTTTGTAGGGGAAAACTCAGAAAGATGTACAAATTACAGGATACGGGAGTTTACCTGATTTGAACGTGCTTTTGTAATCATAAGTGTGAACATGGTTTTAAACTGTCCAAACTGCATTTTATGTACCTTTTGGAAAGGTACGTATTTTCTTGTCAGCAAGAAGACCAATACAGTGCTGGTCAAATTGTTCAGCCATCATTTAGCCTTTCTAGTGACAGCATTACAGTCAGCCTTGGTTCTAGAACTTCATTTAATTTCATTCACTGTGGGAAGGATGAAGAAGTGAATCACGTCTCAGTAATGGACATTTGGAAGGGGAAGGCATTGTTGTGTGTACTGAAATCACAATCACAAGGTATTAGGTCATGTCCAGGTATACATTTGAGGCAAAACCTTTGCACCAGATGACTCAGACTGGAATTATCTAAAATGTTCAGGTTCCACCAAAATTAATGGGCATTAGGCTGTATACCTAAAATAGTTAACAAACAGCATACGTATTAATACAAGGGTTATCTAGTTGCTTTCCCAAGTGCAAAATTCTTTACAGAACAGTATGTTTGTAACTGCATTCTGAAAGGTTTGTCTAAGCTATGACTGCAGTTTTAAAGCAGAAAACAAAACGGTGTCAGAGAAGGCTGGTTTGTGAGAAGCGGATGGCTCAAAACCCCACCGTTCTTCCACTCCCTTGATTTACACAGTTAAGTTAGGAGCGGCCACCAGCTTCAGCCACTCCAGCCTGCAACTCCCTCCTACCCCAGCCAGTGGAGTCCAGCCTGGGGACCAGGGACCTGAGGTCTCTGCCCGGGCTGAGGGACTCAGCTTCTACTTCTCTGTGTGCAGGGTCAGCACAGAGACCAATAGTAACTGTGTGCTCGTTAGAGTGTAGTGACACTTCAGATGCAGTGAAGCTGAGAATCATATATTAAAATGCCTCTGTGTTTAGTTCTCAAATGCTAATCACATGTTGGTAGTAACTTGTTGGAATATATTGCTGAATCTAATTTGTGGCTTAGTTACTTGGTTCGTACTGTTTTTGATGTGGAAATTTAATTGTGTCTCTAGATTTTCATCTTATTTTTCAGTTGGTGCTTGAAAGATGATGGATAATCTTTCATTATATTCAGATACAACCATATAATGTCCTTGGCTTTGCTGGGTTTACTATTGTGCTTGTGTATCCACCAAACAACAGGGAATTGCACTTTCAGTCACTCTGTACTGTTGTCTACTGTAAAGCCTCAGCTGAATCAGTTTAGTCAGCCACTGGAAAGAACAAGTTAAAAGAAGTAGGTTTCTGAAAGCCCTGTCCTCTCTTCTTCACATAAGTCACTAGCCAGTGCACATGCTGGGAAGAGACTAGAAATCCTGTTCCTATGGCTTGACTTTCCTGCCAGTCCAAACTAACAATCCTCAGTCTGGGATTAGCACGATTTTGGTGGAGGGCAGTTGGTCTGATGAGGTTTTTGTGCACTAGTTAGGCAACTGGGGGATGCTTTGGAGTTTTTCCTTTTCCATCGGAAACATACAAACATCCTCTGCGTCCCTGTCTTTTAACATGAGTCAAGACACTAATTCATTCTCATCTCTTATAAAACACCTTCAGAAAGACAGATAAATGAATGTATTGAGAGCAAGAATGGAATTCTGACAGAATGTTCTCACATCCCTGAGAAGTGGGCCAGGACATTAGATTTTAGGGCTAGTTTCAAGTTTGCAGAAAGCTTCCGACACATGTTCATTGCCCAGGAAGGCTAGTTCTAGAGAAACATGTCTGGAAATTCATTTAATGGAACACATGGAATACATTTTGCTCAGAAAAATCTAAGAAGTGGGAATGTGATTCCTGAAGTACAGCACGATGGATATTTTTCCTGTTCCTGTAATCTTTGTGTGAAGAGAGAAGTAATGAGAAATAGCACTAGAAGGCTGGGGGAGGAGAAGGTTAGCAGAAGATTTCCATCCTGTAGACAGAACTAATGAAAGAATAATCAACTGTACTGTATGAATTCTTGCAGGTAGTTCCCAATGACTTAAATCAATAACTTTACAATGTAATCTAATAATGGTATAATATTTCCTTCCTACCTTGCCTTTTTCTTTCCCCATCTATAAAACATGTCTTTTCCTGTGGAAAAAGTACTGACTTGAGCAATAGTACATGAGGTGAATAATACTCTTTATCCTGCTGCTTTACAGGGTTTCCTGTACAGATGAATGACTCGGATCACTCGCTATTCCAGCATTCATTTCAAGGGTGCATGCAGTTTATTCATGTGGATGATCAGCTAGTGGATTTACACGCAGTGGAGCAAGGCCAACTGGGAAGCTTTGCCAATGTCACCATTGACATGTGTGCCATAATTGATCGGTAAGTTATAGAGACATTGCTGATACTCTGATACACTGATGCATGTTGCCCAAGCAAGTGGTAAATGCTTCATCCCTGGCAGTGTGCAAGGGCAGGTTGGACAGAGCCTTGGGCGACATGGTTTAGTGTGAAGTGTCCCTGCCCATGGCAGAAGGTTGGAACTGGATAATCTTAAGGTCCTTTCCAATGCAAACCATTCTGTGAATATGTGATTCTTTGTCCTCCATGTTCTGAGAATGTACAGTGATACAGAAGAGTGACATCAGTGCCTTCTGGCTTCACTGAATTCCACAGAGCGCTAAAATAGGTCCACATGCTTGCACAACTGTTTATGTAATAAATGCTTAAACTTTATTAAAATAGTGTCTGGTGGTTGGGTTGGTTTTCTTTTTTCCAATCTCAGAAAAGTACTTCCGAATTATGGCAGTCTTTTGCTTTGATCACTACCTTTTCAAGCACTTACCTGTGTTAATTTCTCTTCCTCCTGAGTAATATTTTCTTCTTTGATGGCAAAAAAGAAAACATGAGGAAAGATAGCGAAGAACAATTAGCCCAACTCCTGAATGCAGGCAGCTTGGCTTATGAGAATTGCCTACGTATTAAATTCATTACAAGTTTGCTGGAAAGCTGAAAATGGCTTTTTAGAATTTAGAAAGAAGCAGAAATTACAAGACCATAGAACCCTACAAGGATTCAGGTAAGGAGCAAGCACTGGAGTTCACGTGGTCCGAGCCCTGCTCAAACGCAGGGCCAACTTCAAAGCTGTGTCAGGTTGCTCAGGGCCACAATCAATAGAGCTTTGAGAATGTCCAGGGATGGATATTCCACAGGCTGAATGTCCCTGGGTATTAGCAAAGAGTGGCATAGTTAAGGCAAAGAAAAGTGTGTGCTTTTGATTTCCTACTGAAAGTAAGAGAATCTCAAAGAGATTAATGCTACTAAGAGAAAAACAAAATGCAGCATACTGCTTTGGTCTTACAAAATGCCTTCTCTTCCTGAAATATAGACATCAGTTTGAACTAAACAAGTTGTGAGTTGACTGTAGCCAGCAGCCAAACACCTGCCCTACCTTTTTCTCACTCCTCTCTTCCAGGAGATGGTGTGGGGAGGAGGGGAAAGTGAAAAGACTGTTACAAGTGAAAAGACTCTTGGATTAAGATGATAGTTTAATAAGAATGGCAGTTTAATAACAAATGCATAACATGCACATGCAGGCAAGTGAGAAGAGAACTTGATTCAGTACTACTCATCAGTAGGCAGTTGTCCAGCTGCTTCTGGGGAAATGGGGTCTCAGCAAATGTAATGCCTGTTTGGAAAGAGAAACATCCCCACCCCTTCCTCGTCCATTCCCTGAGATTTTATTGCTGAGCATGACACTGCAGAGTATGCGATACTGCTATGGTCAGTTTGGGTCAACTGTCCCAGCTGTGTCACCTCCTAACTTCTCGCCCACCCCCTTTTTTCTGGCCTTTATGGAGGAGAGTGTGGAGCAAAATCCCTTGTGCTGTGCAAGCTCTGTTCAGCAGGATCCAAAACAGTGGTGTGTTACCAGCAGTGGTTTACCCAAACTGAAGAACAGCACTGTATGGGCTGCTGTGAAGATGGTAAACTGGAAACTTCATCCCGGCTAGACCCAGCATTCCGTTTTAGCAGTATCAGAGTGAAGGAGCATGTGGTGTACCAATGAGTTGTTATCCTGGTGGGTGTGGCTGCTTTACATTGCTGCTTCTCATGGACCTGTTGAAGGCTGAAGTCATAGAGAAAAGAGGAAGTGAAGAGCTGCTGTCATAGGGAAGAAGTTTGTTCTATCTCCTCACATACAACTGAAATTAGAAAGGTCTCATGGTTAGTATTTGAGAGTTTGAATTGCTCACTTTTATTTTGAATATCTGGTTTTGGAAATGTAAATGGACTTGGAAGAAAGGATGGGAAGATGCACCTAGTTAAGTCCCTGCTTTTTCCCCAGTGGATAAATCTGTTTATGTGACAGTTTGTCTTGATCCTGTTTATGCCAGCATCTGTTAGAAATAATTCTGTCATCATAGTGAAAGTAATCAGAATTAGGCTTTTACAATGTATTACAATGTAGTTACAATTAACTTAGAATGTAAGTTAACTAGAATCAGGTTTACAATGCACTATTGAAAAGTAGGACTTAAAGCTTCCTATATGTCAGGCAGCTTACTTTTGAGTTGAACTTCATATAGAAGTTACTATTCATACGGTATTTCTTTTTATAAGGTATAATAATATATATAGCTATTTATTATAATATAATACCATATGCCATATATGGTATTATATGAAATACCTTTTACTGTGTTAAAATATTATGCTTCATATATTGGGCTTATTTTATATACCTCAAACATTTGTATTCGTAATATATTTTAATATCAATAACAGTGGTTTATGTATGTTTCTGAATATATGCTTTCTTTATCTAAAGAAATGTAGTCTCACTCTCTTCTGTCACCTCGGACACTTACATCATCCTGATAATATAAAACAGAACTATATATCTTATGTTTGTGCTTCATAGGCACTGGATGTCTGTGTTACAGAGTACCAGTTGTTATTCTGCAACAATCAAAGGAAATCAGGATAAAATTCAAAGAATTTTCTTAGGGTTGATTTGGGTTTTTTTAAGGATTGAGATGTAATCCAGTTTGTTGTTTTACCATGATCAAATTTATTTCTTTGTAATCTGCACTTTGAAGCAAACCCTTTGACTAAGAAGTAATAATGCCAAGCTTTAAATGTGACTGATTTGTATGGCTTTCTTATGAACATCTGCAAATAGGAGTTTACAAGCACTTCTGTTACCATATGCCACTATATATAACATCTTTTCTGCGGCTTTCTTTTAAAGGATCCAAGTACCATGTGTACTATATATTAGCTTAATTTCATTTCCTTTGAAATGGGAAGATATTTGTGACTGTGATACTGGTATCCTCCTGCCTTTTGTAACTTGTTTAGCTCTGAATCATAAAGGCTTCAGTTATCATCAACATGGAAATTGCTTTCATAGCCACACTTCAGTGAAGACCCCCACTGGGCAAAAAGATAAGCTGTCACAATGAATTATTCTTACTGCAGACTTCAGCCATTTGGTTGGGGGAAGAAAAGGTGAAGTTGTGAATGGTGGCATTTTTCATCATTAGCTACAGCAGATAGTAAGAAGGGGACAGTTCTCTCTATAGGAACATGACAAAAACTGTGGCAAGTTCTCTTGTTTCAGCTGCCTGGAGCTAACTGCTCTCATGTTCTGCCAAACTGAACACCTGACATGTATGGAAAAGGTTTCTGCATTTTTGTTCTAGTATTTTTTTAGGATGTTAGAACAGTCACATTAGAGCATTACACTTGTACTTGGGAGATAAGAGTGTTAAACCAGTGCCTCATTATTTTTAGTCTTCCTCTCCTCATATTAGCATTTTGCCATTGCAAAGACTACAAGCAGAGATCTTATTCAAAGTGATGACCAAAGCTAAGGAACATTCTCTTTTTACTGGTGACCAAATAGTAAAAGTACATAGAATTTCATTCTATGGGTATATATATACACAGCAATTACAGGCAGTGAAAATGCAACTGAGGATAAACAGTCACCCTGTTTGCGTAACTTTAATTGTATTAGCAATGGAACTTGCTTTGTTTTCAGAGTGATCAACATGCTATACTGCCTGTGACAGCACAGGTCTCTGTATACCTCCTTTACTTATCATTAACAAGCTTAGCTAGTCACAGGCCAGATGGTACAGTTGTACTTAAGGATTTTAGCGTAGGACTTTGAACAGGAATTATAACTCACAACTAATTTATCCCAGCAGTCTTGGAGAATTCCAAAGCTCACCTGACTTTGTTGTGGCTAGAATTATAGATTTTAATCACAAAATCTGAGATACTGAAATGGTTTCAAAACATAGTGTGCAATCTGTCATTGTAAATTATAGAGAACATATGCCAATCTTAACAAAAATCTCTGTGTACCATAAGAGATGAAATGACAGAAATGAGTGAAAAAATGCAGTAGCAAGAATGTACCTGTGGCTGCTTCTTGTGTTTCATGAATGGGTGAACTGTGGGATTCTGTCTGTACACAGTGAGATGGATTAGACACCAATTTTTGGTAATAATTTCATGTTAAAGAATCAATGTAAGTAACCAGCTGTATGCAGCAGAACAACAATCTGGGTGACTGCTGCTTACCTGCTGTGGTGATGCACTGTATGACAGAGTACCAGCATTCGGCTTTAATGCCACAGAGCCATAATTTCTAGACTATGTGATTGCAAGCCAAAGTTGAAATAATCCATTAAAATAACAAAGCACAGCAGCATATTGAGGCATGAAAATGGCCTCAGTGTAACTGGCAGCAGACAGGATTGCTTTGGAATTAAGGATCGTCACTGCAAAGATTCTTCAAATTCCTCACTTCTGCCTCTTGACAAGGACTTCGGGCTTCTGGCCTTCCTCTCTGTTCTGCCTCTGCCTCTATAGCCAGTAATGAAGTGAGTGAGGAGTAAACCAGATCCCATTCCCTCTGCATCAGAGGCAGATGATATTCCAGTGCCCAGACTGGAAGCAAAACCTGCTTTACAGCTGAGTTGTTCACAAATTCACAAAAAGGAAGTAAAACAGGACTGGGGCAGGTCTGAAACCGTGCCATGACTTCAGCCTGCAGCTGTTCCTGGGCCTATGGCTGGAAACCAGTTCCTGCATGTGCCCCCTGCTCTTCCTCTCCCCACTTTTCTTTGGAACCATGCAAGCTTTTGAGGTGGAAATGGAGATGAAAGCTGCCTTTCAACAAGAGAGGTTCAAGTGGGTTTACTTCATAATCCACTTCAGCCCAGAAAAGTGACTTTGTAGACAGATTATAGCTCATATGACGGTGGCAGTGCTTTTATTACTGTGGCACTTGTCCCATATGTACCAGAGTGTGACAACTGCCATATTCCTTAACATGGATCAAGAGACAGCTGAAAGGTTACAAA